TCCATGTCTGCAGTTATCTTTCACTAGTTGCATTCACTCATTTCCCAAAGTCATTTTGAATGTTGAATTTTCAATACAACTGAAATATTTGAGAGAACATCACATAAGCTAACTTCATATTCAATTGATGTTGATTTTCCTAAAATGTGTTTTTTTTTTTTTTAAATCAACATTATAGTGATTAGTGTTCCCTTTGGTTGGGCACTTGGAACTTCGTTTATGTTAATATAATTTTCTTCCTGTTAATGCAGCAATGCATCATGAAGTCAGAGTTATTTGATTTCAAGGGAAGAAAAGTATAATAAATAGGTTGCTTTTAGAAAGTGATCTATATTCTAATAAAAGCATTAGTGTATTTTTTGTGTGTGTGTTTTTTAATGAACTTTATCAAATTTCATTTTTCATAAATACCTTGAGATGCTTTTAATTGGGTTTATCCTTAAATAGTGTGTGGCAATATGCTAAAGTCACACACAGACTTAAACAATCCGCACGTGAATCACAACAATGGTAACAATTCAATTTCATTTATTTTCATTAATTGTAACAATAACCATTTTATTTGCTCTTTTTGTTGTGCTACTTCTGGCACAAGACAGCAAATAAAATTGGCAAATAAAATCAACAACTGTAAAACAAAGCAACTGCATAATTTATACTGCCGCAATGCACTCTGGGAGTCAGTGAGTAGCTATACTAAGTCATGAGTAAACCTAAATGAAAGGATCAAGTACCCCCTACAGTTCTTTTTTAGTTACTAGAACTCTCGTGTAAGTAAACTATACTAACTAAGCATTTGTCAGTACAACATACTATTCCTATTTCACTTTACTTAGTTTTTTCAAGGCAATCGGTTTGCATGCTTTTTTTAAGTAAGCCCAACTAATTAGATTTGACAGTGTAAAGATTATAATGGCTTTTTTTTTAATAACATTCTTTCACAACAAGACCACAACACTTTCACAATAAGACCAAAAAAAAGCAAGCAAATACGAGATTTTTTTTTTACCTTAATGTTTAGCTACTTAAAAACAGCCCAATTTACCATTATTAGTTTGGATATATAACTGTATTTTAGTCACAAACTTGAACTACTTTGAGACCATGAAATTGCAGTTGCCAGCCAATATTGTGGTGGGATTTTATAATTGAATACCATGAAAAATGTGCAACAGAATCAGAATGAACAACAATACTGTGGTGTTAAACATAGTTTAAAAACTATACACCTCCAATATACAACTTCAAAATATCTGAAACTGATTCACCGGCTCTTATTAAGCAGATCAGGTTTATATTCTCTACACATTCAGCGCTTTTATGGTCATTATAAACCAAGTGAAATGAAAAGCTGGCAAATGTAGTTATAATTTCCAGTAACGTTTATGACTCCATTAGCCCATTGTGGTGTTACTGTAGGAATAAGGTCAATGTGACACAAATGAGGAAGAAAATCCAAAAACAAGCGGAAAATAAATTACATACACAATCTATGTACTAACACAGCAGTCTCTCCAGCCTCTTGATGTAATACTGAATCATCCAAACCACAAAAGCTTTCAACAAAGTCAAACAGGGCTATTCGCAAACAGGACAAGCAAGGATGTAACCAAATATTTAGGACTGAGCGGACCAAAGGGAATTTAAAAGGGAATACTGATTAATGGTAGCTATGGCACTGAGCACAAGTGAAACATAAATGGTGACCACAGTGACCACAAGAATCTGCATTATGAACGACGGTTCACAAGCTTGCACAATGCTCAAAACTAAACATTTCTGTGAGCTCTGTTGAGGATGTAGGACAGGAAAGACAGTTTAAGACATGAATCATCATGATGGCACTTGCAACGTGCATACAAAAACAGCTATTTATTTACTTCCAGATCAATGAAATATTGCGAGACTAAAACTAAAAAAAGAACTTGGTCTGATCCAGAGCTCGTGACCAATAAACAGACTCAAATCTTTGACATTTGATATTGTTGTGCATCCTAACTCAGCACTTTTGTGCACTGCATATACGATACAAAATCACAATACGGAAAGTAAATGCACTATTTTGTAATCCATTCCATAAAAAAACAGGATTATATTTCCCCTTTTGCGGTCTAACACCCCATCGACGCACATAATTAACATTATAAACATTATAATCAGTATCTAGTTCATAATCGTCACATCGCAAGCGTTATGATCACTCACCGGAGGAAATATGATTGACTTTATTCGCGTCCACCTCGGCCATGTCAGCGGTTTAAAATCACGCGCAGAGGCTGTCGGCATTAAAATGCCAGTTTAATTCACAGCACAACGGGACCCGAGTCTGTTCAACGGGCTTGTTTTGGCCCTCTGTGGTTCATTGAAGGGTTCCTCTCCGGTTACCGCATGTTTACAACAAGCGTCCACTCGCGAGCAGCACAGGCAACTTCCGATGAGGTCACGTGACAAGACCGCATCATGTGACACGCTCTGAGGCTGCTGAGGTCATGGCGTGTGGTTACTGTAAACAGAGCTTGTTGTGTATTATTCACATTAAGTGATTTGTGATGCCGGAAAAGGGAGTTTTGTGTGTGTGTGTGTGTGTGTGTGTGGATGTATTCTCAATTCTACTTTGAAATAAATCAGATAATGTACCCTAATGTGCCATTTCATTTTCTCTATTTTAAAAATGACATTTCATTATCCTTTCTATATTAAAACACATATTAAGCTTTTATATTAAGTCTAATTTACAGATGTCTTATGTTTTATATGTTCTGTTTTTTCTTATATTTATTTAACTTTGTCACAAATGATACAAAAAAAAATCGTTGAACGTTTTTTTTTTTTTTTACTAACAGTAGGTCCTGTTAGTAGCAAGCAACAAAAGAGAAATAAAACGACTACTGCATTTAATATGATGTGCAAAACATGGTCATTTTGTCGACAATTTTCTAACTGTGGTGATTCAGTAATTAAGCTAAATAACAGTTTGGAACCATGCTAGATTTTTTAATATATACAGAATAATATTTTATTAATTATTTGTTTCTTGATTGGGTTTGACCCATATTGAGTGACTGTTAGGGGGAGAAAAAAATATAGCTTTATAACTCTGAATGTTTGACAGATTAATCTTACACCGTGTCAGTTGTCCGGTGTAGACGCGGTGTTATATTGTTCTGTTTTGTAGCTTGTTGTTCCCAGTGCTAAAGAATCAGAGTGTGAGGCTAAACATGCAACTTACTGGGAATAGTTTGTGATTTTTTACATGACAGCATTAACAGGAAATCAAGACACTAACGTCATGATTACGCTTAATTACACAGAACTGCTAAAGCCAGTTCCTGACAAAAGTTCCCAACCATTTACAAGTAATGCAATAAAACTGCTGTAACTGTCATTTAAAAAAAAAAAAACAATGAAGCGGACAAAATGTTACGTTACGTTAAGAGTATTAATAATCACTATTGTAACTACTGTACAACATTTACACAGAAAATATTAACATGTACATTTTTTAAGGAACAATATTTCCTCGTCTCTCCTTGCCGTTTACAGACTTTATTATATTGTGTGATTAAAAAAAGAAACAACATGAACAAATGAAACATATACAGATATAAGAAGTCCAAATATAATAATTCACACTGTAAATAAAACTTCTCTGCTACTTTTTATGAGCATATGCATCTCTGCTAGCACTAATTATTCTGACATATGTACAGTGCCTGCACAATTTTGAGCAACTAACAGTTAAATGGTGTTAACATTTTTTTCAATATCAGTGCAGTGATACTCAATTCCACTGAGATCCAAGCCTAAATTCAATACTGATTTAATTTACCATTTATTATAATTTATTAATGTCTTGTTATGGTACATTTGTAAAATGAACACCCAAAAATTATATCATCTTAAAGTTCTCTGAAAATAACCCCTCAATGCATTAGTGTATCAATAAAGACATAATTTTACACTGAACTGGACAAGTGAGGTGACTGTGTTGATGTGGCTTGTCCTCAGCAATATTCTGTAACATCATTAAAAGAAGAAGGACAGCTAGAGACAGTCTTGAAGTTATTCTGGATCTGTGCTAGATGCAGTGAATTTGTTAGCAAAGCTATAAAAATGAGTGGGGAAAAAAACAATGCTGAGACTCCAGACTCAAGGCTAAACTTGAAGCTTGATGTACTAAGCAATCTGCTATCTGCCATCAAGAGTTTTATCACGAGCAATGACTGCCTCATCAAACTTGATCATCAGTGTGGTTCCCTTATGCCAGTGGACAGTGACTTTGGCTGGGAAGCCACTGTGGGTTAGGATAGCCTCCACGATGCCACCAGTGAAGGCTGCACAGTTTAAGGTGCTATTTTCTTTAGGTACTGAAATGTAGGCATTGATCAAAGGCTCCTTTTCAATGATGTAGTATGTTTTGTCATCATCGTTGGCTTGCTCCAGTTTGTCAGCTTCCTTACCAAATAATGCTTTCCATACAATTACCTAGGAAGAAAGAAATAAAGAGTTAACACTATAGGCTATGTGAACTTTAAAGGAGTAGTTCAGCCAAAAATTAAAAAAGGCTGAAAATGTACTCACCCTCAGGCCATCCAAGACGTAGATAAGTTTGTTTTTTCATCAGAACAGATTTGGAGAAATTTAACTTTACATCTCTTGCTCAACAGTGGATCCTGTGCAGTGGATGGGTGCCGTCAGAATGAGTTCAAACAGCTATAAAGCTGATAAAAACGTCACAGTAATCGACAAATAATGACTCCAGTCCATCAGTTAAACAGTCTATAACAGTTCTCAACGAATATATTGGTGGATTTTGATATTTGAGGACAACAGGAGATAGACTTTTTTTCCACTGGAGGAAGCAATATTACGGATAATAGACTTCTATTTTGGCCAGAAGTGATGGTTAAGACTGCTTAATAATGGATTTGCTTCTTACAAACACACTTTCTTACAAACATAAGATGTTAACTGATGGACTGGAGTTCGGTGGATTACTTATGGATTATTATGATGTTCGTATCAGCTGTTTGGACTCTCATTCTGACGGCACCCATTCACTGCACAGGATCCATTGGTGAGCAAGTGACACTAACTTTCTCCAAATCTAAAAAAACAAACTCATCTTTGATTCAGCAGCTTTTCATTTTTAGGTGAACTGTTCCTGTAACCAAGAATGATCTACACTCTGCAAACAAATAAACAGCAATACCTTAATAAAGAGAAGTATGTTCAAAACTTTGGTCTCTCTTTTTCCGTTTTTCTCCCTCATCACAAGAACATCCAGAAGGCTGGCTCCAACCCCTTGACCCATGTCAGCCAGCCGGGCCTGGAGCTCCGACACCGAGTACACCCGGCTCTGGCAGTACTGCACCATCTCCGAGAAGAGCAGCGCGAACGCACTCACGCTCACCTCGGTCTTGGGACGCGTGAGCGAGCGCTCGAGGATCGCGGATTTGCCTCGCGTGAAGCGGACCTCCATTGCGTCCACACCGAAACTGAATCACAATCTGAATCAAAGAATGAAGTGCCTGAGTCCTGCAATATAAACAGCTTTGAGTTATAAACCAGCATATTATAATTTGCAGATAAATATTTACGAATGCATACATGTATCAATTGTCCTCATAATTCATTGATTTGGCATTCAATGTAGGTCTCATGGCTACATGGCTTATCATGTAACGTTAGGTCTCTGATTACATTATGGGGTTTCCTGATTAAAAAGGGACTGAATAATACGCCGAACGAGCCACCTTGTACAGAAACTAGGAAATTATAAAGCAGGCATCACAATCAAATCATATTTCACTGTGTATTGGCGTTCACCTGGTGTTTTGGGTTTCAGATCCGGATGCGTGAAGCCACGATTAGTGCAAACGCCTGCTGTTCTCTTGTGACCGGATATTTTCAATATAAAAGTAGGATGGGACACAGTAATGGTAAATTAAGCACAGTATTGGAGTGGAGTGGAGTTTTGTAGTGTATCAAATTTACAGTTTTAATAATGATTTTTTTTTAGTGTTTGTTTTATTTATTTCCGAGATGCATTTTTCGGGAAATTAACATTCAGCGGCAACGACTTTTATTTTAAAATCATTTAAAATTCACTGGATAGGCTGCGCTTTGCTCACAATGCGAGATGTGCTTGTAAATAGTCAACTTGAAGAGCAGGTGATATATATATATATATATATATCCCTCGACGTAAGTTTAACGTATCAACATGTATTTTATATAGACGGATTTCCTTATAATGTTCCAGGACTGTTTAGGAGCATAACAGCTTCTGAATTCATATTCTAAATGATTCTAGTTGCATGTCTGTTCTGCATCTGTGAAGTTAGTCAGCAAACTTTTCTGTTTGCATGTCATGATCAAATGAATAAGGTGTAAGTTAGGGTACCCTCCAAAATGTACAAATATCTTTTTCAATTAAACATAAGTTTGTTTGTTCTTGTAAAGGGGGTTGAACTGCACTGCAAGGTATGAGAATGCTGCCTGCCTTCACGAGCCTCAGACACTTTGCCACAAACACGATGAGGAGAGCAGGTAAGAAACAGCCTTTTTTATTGAAATTATTGCTGGATAACATTCATCATCAAAATAAGCCTTTAATTACATGTAGGCAGCACTGTTCACTAGTTTTCATATTTTATAGAATATACATGGTTATGAATTTTATTATGACTCTTCTGTATTTTAACAGTGTCTGAGTTCAGAATGACTGTCCCATGGGGAGAGATGAGAGGTCAGGTTTGGGGTCCTTCTAATGGCCGTCCAGTGCTGTGCTTGCACGGCTGGGCTGACAACTGTGGGACGTTCAATACCCTGATTCCGTTGCTTCCTAAAGGTATGGCGTTTCCGAGTCCAGAGAATTTATTAACATTATGAAGGTCCACATGGATCAATTCATTCTTACATACCTCATCTACAAACATCAATGAAGTGAAACTAGTTCCTGTTCTCTGTTTTTCTCCACATCTCTTCCAGACTGGAGATTCGTAGCCATTGACTTTCCAGGTCACGGTCTCTCGTCTCATAGGCCTGATGGATGCTTTTATACCTTCCCTTTGTACGTGGCAGATGTGCGCCGAGTTGTAGAAGGTTTGAAGCAACTCGGCCTTTGTTACAACCAAAAAAAGTTCTTCATCATTCTTGAAACTAGATTGATGTACATGAGAAAGTGACAAAAGTGAAAGTGAAGTGACATGTGGCCAAGTATGGACGCCCGGGGAGCAGTTGGGGGTTCGGTGCCTTGCTCAAGGGCACCTCAGTCGTGGTATTGAAGGTGGGAGAGAGCGCTGTACATTCACTCCCCCCACCTACAATCCCTGCCGGTACGAGACTCGAACCCTAACCATTAGGCCACGACTTCCCACTATATAAACTAGATTATATGCTAAACTAGTTAGCAACACTAATTAATTTAGTTAAATTTTAGTGCATTTTGGCAATTTGATTTAATTGTTTTATGCCTAAGCAAGTAAAAAAACAACAAAAAAACAAGAGGAAAATATCTGCTACTGTGGAAAGACCAAAAAATAGGCCTACTTATATTCAAGACAAAATCTATGAAAACAAGCCTTAATAGTTATGCTGTGTTGCTTAAAATGTATCTTGTCTTAAGAATTTTTTTTTTAAATTAATTTAAAACATAAGGAATGTCTATATTTGTATTTTTTCTGCATTTATTTGCAGCTCTTCAGTGGAAGCGATTCTCTATCATTGGACATAGTATGGGTGAGTCCGCTTTCTTCCTGCTGTCTTCATTCACTGACAGGTCAAAGTTCTCTTTTGTGTGTGAAAGGTCAGAGGATCTATGTAAACTGTAAGTTAACTGATGATAAATCCTATTATTGTGAAGCTGTGTTACTGTAGTGCTCTGTAAATCCCTTGTTTTTTGTTTCTTTTGTACTTTCCTTCTATGACATAAATATATGTTAGCAGATCAGTAAGAGGGCATTAGAAGGACACTATGGGAAACCTGACTTCGTAACGCTCTACTATATATAGCATCACCACTTCTCTAAATGTCACCCTTATTCACGACCAGATGATGATCCAGTTTGTTGAGTACCTGCAGTATTGTTTTCCAGGATTTGAGGAGCTTAAATTAATTAAAATATATTTTAAAGGGGTCATATGATGCTATTTTAAAGATCATTATTTTGTGTATTTGGTGTAACAGAATATGTTGACATGCTTTAATGTTCAAAAAACACATTATTTTTCAAATACTGTACATTATTGTAGGTCCTCTGTGCCCCGCCTCTCTCAAACACGTTGTTTTCAACAAAGCCACCTCCTTTGACAAGCGCAGTCTGCTCTGATTGGCCAGCTGACCCAGTGCATTGTGACACCAAGAGCTTGTAACACTCCAAAGAGAAAGGAAAACTTGAAATCGCATCATATGACCCCTTTAAGATCAAAGCTTTTAAGATTCCGCAGTAGGAAATAAGTGTGTGTGTGTGTGTGTGTGTGTGTGTGTGTTTTGAGTCATAACTTTTAATAATTTAAAGGTATTTAGTTGTGGGTAAAGATATAGGAAAACAGAGACATGAACGCATTAACAGTACCTTGCACAAATCTATAAACAAAATTAAATGTATGTCTTGAAATAACATAAAATAACTTCAACATAATAATAATAATAACTATTATTAGTAATTTAATAATAATGATAGTTACTGGATAACACTGGAATTTATGTGAAATTACGATAAAAATAACTTTCACAAATAAGTAACAAATATTCATGACGTTCAAATGAGCAGAAGCTGTTTTTGAACTGGGTTAATTATTTGGGATTATTATTTGATGTTTCTTTAACAGGTGGGAATGTGGCAGGAATAGTGAGTATCTGCCATAATTTCTTTCATATTTCTGTAAATGTTGTAGTTGTTTAGTACAGTGTTTCTCAACTGGATTTGCTTCATGACCCAGATTTGACATGAAGGGACAACCTATCACAGTACTAAAAGGATGCAGTGTAAACAAAAGTGTCTTTAAATGATTTAATATTAGTGAGCTGTAAAGGTCCAACAGTTTGCAACATGATTAACTTTTTGCTATCTTCCTGTGCCTAGCATTGTTTTTATCTGCTGTCCTTGAATGGATACTTTTTTTGGTTTTGCAACAACTGAGAAGCAATGTTTTGTGTTGTGTACATGTAGCGTGTGATAACAGCTCCTTCTGATTTTCCAGTTTAGTGCCTTGTACCCAGAGATGGTTGATGCCGTAGTTCTCCTGGATACATATGGATTCCTCCCAACACAAGTGGTAACAATAAATGGAGCATTTAGCTGTAAATCATACAGAAGACTTCTTATTCAACATGCATGCGTCAATGATAACAACATACATGTTTATTTGCCCTTTCTTAGACAGACATGTTTAAGAACGTGAGGAAAGGGATAAATGATCAAATCCAGTATGACAACAAGACGGAGGAGAGGAAAGAGAGGGTCTACACATATGAGAAAGTCAAAGAAAGGTGAAGAATGCCTGATGTTTACTTACAAACAAACATGTATAGCACATGAGTGTTCTTGATTTTTTTTTTTTGTTCTGTATTCTGTTGAGTTTTAACCACGTTCTTTCCCACAATTTTAAGGTCTGACTTCTGAAAATAGAGAGTTGATGCAGTGCGATTCAGGCAGATGAAGTCTTCCAGTAAAATTGTAATTGTATAATTTATACCTTTTGTCTTTAAATACGTTATAATTTTACTTGGGGTAAGCGATTTTTCAAAAACGCTTTAGAAAACTGATTCGGGCCGAATAGCAAAACAAACTTGTAGCCAATCAGCAGTAAGGGGCGTGCCTACTCATGATGTGGAGGAGAGAGCGTTCAGTCCAAGCCGAGCGACAGAAAGATAGATAGAGATGGCGGATAAAAAACAAAAGAGGAAAACGTCTGCGGAACAAACGAAGGCTTAAGGCAATAAGGCAAGAAGTAGGACCTGTGTAAATATCGGATCAGCTTTCCAGCGCTGGAGAGAACTCAAAGAGCGGAAGGCCTGCGATCGGACGCCGAGGTTGCTTTGTTTCTTCTCGACAGGTGAGTAACACAGTGTCTGCGCCGCAACAGCTAAAGTCTGTCTAGTACACTGGACGGGACAAAGCGACCATTGAAAATCATTTGAAATTTGTGTCAATGCATCTTAAATAGAACGCAGCAGCAGTTTTCTGTCGGGGATTTGTCGTGTTGTGCCGCACCGCATCCAGTGTAGACCATAGATATGTGTATATATATCTATGGTGTAGACAGCATCACTGATGTGGTTTAGCGCAGCTCGTCAGTGAACAATGGCTCTGTGTAGTTAATGCTGCTCAATGTGAAAGCACGCAGGTGATGGAGATTTACCGCTGATTACATAGCCGGCTTTACTGATAAGATGCGCGTTAAATATCGCATGCGATTAATCGTGCAGCCCTAGTGATTTCAAATGTCAACATTAGGTACCAGAAATCGCTTACCCCACCTTTAAAGACTTCATCTGCCTGCATCTCACTGCATGATTAAATTAATTTACAATTCTTATTTTTTTTTATTGAATATTGCTGTTTATTATCAATGATTATAAAAATGGATAAAATCAAGTCACAATAGGGAAGAAAGGGTAATTGCATTTCTCTTTAACAACATTTTTGACATTTTTAAGTTTTGATTTATCATTTGTCCACCTTATATTGATTGCAAAGTTGAATTTTCAGCATCATTACTCCAGTTTTCAGTGTCACATGATCCTTCAGAAATCATTCTAATATGCCGATTTAATGCTCAAGAAACATAGCTTATTGTTATATATGTTGAAAACAGTTGTGCTGCTTAATATTTTTCTGTAAATCATGATATTTTTTTTTCAGGATTATTTGATGAATAAAAAAAATCACATTTATTATTATTATTATTATTATTATTATCCTCTTTCAGGTTGAAGGCTGCAAACCCGTCCCTTTCCGATCAGTCTGCAGACATTCTGTTAGAGCGAGCAGTCAGAGAAGTTGAGGGAGGTAAGACATACAGCAATTGCACACTTATTCTGTGGACCCAGATTTTCTCACTTTTTCTCTAAATTACTTCCTTTCTCTTGAAGGATTTGTATTCACCAGAGATTTCAGGATCAACCTGGTGAGCCATTTCAGTATATTTATTCAGAACTTTACATTCTAGTTTATTCACGATAACAATATTTCAGATTTAGTATGACTGTTTGACCCATATTCATCTGTGACAGATCTTCCAAAAACTCATATTATCATATACAGTGGTTTATTCCTTTTTTTGATATGGTTTCTGCTATACAAATGTATTGTGTTTAGGAAGGAATGTATAAAAACACACTATACACATCATGATAAATGTTCGTTCCTTCATATTTAAATCTCTCTCTTTTTTTGCCAACTGGTGATATTTGGTTTTGTTTCAGAAAAACATTGTGAATAATAATATGGAACAATGCCTCCACATGATGTCACTAGTTAAAGCCCCAGTGATGATACTGCTGTGAGTTCACACAGACACAGTTTTTCAGTTTTCATAATGTTCAGGAGAAGCACTGTGCACATTTAAGCACAATGCTGAAAATTAGAGATGCACCATTATTAAAAGGCAGATATTAAATCCTCTGAGATTGTCTAAATAGTTTCAAAATAAAAAAACTGAAAGTTGAAAATTAGTCATTTTAAATGCTAAAAGTCAGTTTAGGTATCATAACCTTACAATGTACAGTATGAAAAATATACTGGCCTACAAAAGCATTAAGTCAAATTTTAAATGCCTGAATGTCACTGTATTAGAAAATAAGATATGTATATATAAACCAAGTGGCATCTCGGTACAAATTTTTACTACTGTTATAAACCCATCATATTATTATCCATACTCTATCAGACTGCTTTTGTGTCCTGTGACATACGTTGCCTCACTGTTTCAAAATCAAAAATGTGTCTTTCTTCAGGGCAAAAGATGGCCTGTTCAAAACCTTTATTCTACCTGATGGTTATGTTGATATGATTCTGAAGAGCTGGACTGATCAAAAAGTGAGATGTGCGCACATACTCCCAAATATAAGTGCAAAATGTCTGTCTGGAATGGTATTATCTAGAAATATCTTTCTCACTCTTCTGCAGGCCACCATTGTTGATGTAGAAGGGGATCATCATATTCACCTCAACAAACCTGAGTCCGTGGCCTCCATAATCACTGATTTTCTTCAGTCACACAGTCCTGACAAAACAGAGAGTGAATCTAACAATAACCAGTCTTCCAAATTATAGCACACACATGCTGATTCAAAAAATGAAGTAGTCTGTACTGATTCAAGATACTCATATCATTCACCAGTTCTTGATAATGTGATACTTTAAGCATCACAAACCAATTTTTTTTTTTATTTCCAAAAGGTGTTTTATTAGAAAACGTTCAGAACATTTGTCTTCCATTTTTAGAGGTTTAGTCCCTGCTGTTGGAAATCTCTGTCATAGAGGACACAGGACCTAGGGTGACCATACGGGCCATTTTTACGGGACGCGCCCTTGCCAGGATTTCTATATTGCCTAAAATATCCAGGTTTTGGCTGTTAGCACTGTGCAGATCGATCGTTGTATGACATTATTTCACGAGAGCTATAAGCTTATGCTTTCAAATCGCTCTCGCGGTACTTTGGTGTCATACAATGATCGGTGCGCAACTTCAAGTCGAATGAACGAACAAACAAACACGTGCGCGTATTTACATCGCTTTGATCGCTCTCACCTTCTTGCGCGATGCGCCACAATTGGTCGATTATGTACAATACCTGCATGTTATTAGGTCAAGCTACTTTGGATGTTTTAGGCAATATAAAAATCCTGGCCAGGACGTGTCCCGTATAAATGGCACATATGGCCACCCTATACAGTGGACCATGTTATATTGGCAAAATACAAATGCTGCTGACAAACATTGATTATAGTGTTGGAAAAAAAAATCGGTTTAGTGCTGAGTCACTTTATGCATTACCAGATTGAATCTGCTCAAAGAGAAGCTGGCTATATGTGATGCACATAAAAGGTTTTTGGAAACGTCTGTTAATGTTAAGTATTAACTAAAACATCTGTTCATTTTTACTTTTGTTGTGATGAAGAAAAACTAAAGATTAAAGTATATAATAAAATTTGTGTCATTTGACTTTTTTTTGTTTTTTTTTTCAAATATTGGGGCAAATAATAGATCTGTAACTATAAATTCCAAAGCTACAGTGGCCAAAAAAGTATTTAGACAATTAAATCAGGTTTTAAAAGGAATTAATGTACAGTTCAAACTTTTATGGTCGTTAAGAATTTATGTTTTTGAAAGGTGCTTTTATGCATATAGTAATAAAAACAGTAATCACAGTATTAAAACAATAATATTGGGAAATATTACTACAATTTAAATGAACTCCTTTCTGTATTTTATGATATTTTAAAATGATGGCAAAGCTGAATTTTCAGCATCATTACTCCAGTCTTCAGTATCAAATGATCCTTCACAAATCATTCTGATATGCTCATTTGCTGCTCAAGATACATTATTATCAATGCTGAAAAGAGTTGCACTTTCTTCAGAATTGTTCGATGAAGAGAAAGTACAAAAGAACAGCATTCATTTAAAATCTTTTGTAACATTATAAATGCTTTGGCTGTCACTCTTGACCAATTTAATGCATCCTTGCTGTATTAATTAGTTTTATTTTTTATTTTTAAACCTACTGACCCCTGAACTACTATATCTATATATATTGTGTGCTGTACTGTGTGTGTTTGCATCGCTGTATTTGTGAATGTGCAGATTGCTGTGAATATGTGTCTGTGTGTTTGATTTCCTTCAGGCTTTGCTGAAAGCTGCACATCTTGCATTTGTCCTGCGCTCATATGTAGGTCAGTGCTGCTCAGTTTTGCCTGACATTTGAGACTATCAATAGCATGATACTCTAAAGACCAACAACCGTGTAATGGGAGCTATTGTGATGAGATTGTATTTGTGTGTGCTTGTGTTTATAAATATGCTTTATGTATATTCAGTCAAGCATTGCTCACCTCAAGCTAGTATAAGAGTCATGTAGCAGCTCCCAAGTTTGTTTGTGTGTGTGTGTGTGTGTGTGTGTGTGTGTGTGCATGTTTATGTGGTTTATGAGGACACAAATTTGTTTTCTGTAAGGGGTAGGTGTAGGGTTGGTGTAGGGCAAAATAAAATACAGTTTGTACAGTATAAAAACCATTACACCTATGGAGAATCCCCATAAACACCCCCCAAAAAAAAATATGTGTGCAAGAAAGATTGCTTTGGGAAGATTATTCTGGGAAGTGCCATTTATGTTAAAGGAATGAAATTCTGTGATCATATACCCTCAAATCTGTTTGATTTCCTTTCTTTCATACACCACAAAAAAAAGATTTTAAAGAGATAGTTCATCCAAATTTTGTGCTGAACACAAAAGAAGATATTTTGAAGAATGTTGATGACCAAACAGTTTTGGTTCCCATTGACTTACAAAGTTTGTTTTTTTTAAATGATGGACGTCAATGGGAACGGAAACTTAGTTACCAAAATTCTTCAAAATATCTTCTTCTGTGTTTCCATAAAATGAATATGAATAGTCTCATTACAGATAATGACATGCCAAATTTGATAATACATATGTTGTAAAATGAGATTTAAAAGCTATGTGAGTATATGAACCATTTTTATGATCCTTTTTGTTATATTTACTGCTTCAATGTTCTAGGTCACTATTCATTATGCAAAAGAACAGCATGAACATTCTGTTAAATTTCTTCTGTGTTCCACAGAAGAAAGTAAGTCATACAGGTTTAAAACATAATGACAGAACTGTGAACTATCCTTGATGTGTGCGTTGCTGTAGGTTATTTGAACCTTTTGGGGATGTGAAAACATTTATACAAAATAACATTCCTCCTAAAAACTCCCTCTAATTTCCAATGACAATTGCCATGTTCCAGTTTAACATGAAATTATTAGGAATGTGAGAGCAAGACTGAGAAGAAAGGGTTACAAAAAATTACGTAACTTCTGCTCTGACCCTTTCCTCGTCAGAGATGTCTCCATGGTTACCCCCCTCCCAACTGGAATGGGATGGTACAGCTTTGACAAGGAGAGCACGAAAGCAAGGGTGTGAGAAAAGCCCTCATTCCATAGCATTGAATAAAATAAAATGTCTTTGTCCACATAGTTTCACCAGCGGCTTCGTTGTTCAGCATTTTAATTAGACTATTCTATCTCCTCAGCCTGGGTTTGAGACTTTAAACCCAAAACTACAGCGCCAGTTCAAAGACAATCAAGGAAAGACTGCAGGTATGTAGAGACACATGATACATATGTGCATGTGTGGAAGTGATGTTTAATGGCATGCTGGAGAAGTATGATTCATTTTTAGTGTATTTCATCTTCATTGTACTTCATTGACAGAATGCTGCACTGTTAAGTATGAGTGACAGTACGGTCATATTTTGATATGGATCATGCAGCATTTTATGTACTGCAGTGCACAGGTGCGTTCTCATTTAGAGAATAATACAACTGTCTCTCTGTTCCTCTCTTTCTGTACTTTTGAGATAACACAATGCCCTGGATGTTTCTGGACTGGTTCGTCCCCGTCTATCTGCTGGTCTCGGTCCTGGTCCTGGCTGGTTTCGGAGCGTGTCTGTATTTTCTGGAGCCGGGTCTTCAGGATGCCCACAAGTGGAGGAACAAGTCACTGAGGCACCAGCCGCTGGCTCCCATAAGGCAAACACACTGTAGAGATGACGACAGCAACGCCTTGTTATGATGGGACATGTGGGGACGCTGCAATGAGACATTTGTGTCAAATCATATATTGATGCCACTTTATCAAAATCCATTGTCTTTTAACAGGGTTTCTGTAGTTATATACAATGATCTGCAATTGGATTACAAGACAAAACAGCATAATACACTGCAGAACTCAATTCATTTATACTTACAAAGATTATTATTTGCATTACATTTTGTAATCTCAACATAATTGGATGTATTCCCTGTACTATTTCAAGGCTAACTATGAAAACTGCCTTTACTGTAGTGGTTCACAACTAGGGGTCCAGAATCCACTAGGGGACTTAAAATTACCGGTACTTAAATTAATATATTATTATCAACACAATTAAAGGGATAGTTCACCCAAAAATGAAAATTCTGTCATCAATTACTCACCCTCATGTCGTTCCAAACCCGTAAGTTTTTGTACGCAAAGAAAACAAAAATAACGACTTTATTCAACAATTCGTCTCCTCCGCATCACCCTATAGCTCCATTTTGGAGAGTATCCACTGAACGCAAACGGCGTATGTGGTGTACGCCGTGTGGTGCGGCTGACACGGAACAGCATACGCCGTTAGAGTTTAGTGGATACACTCCAAAATGGAGCTATAGGGTGATGCGGAGGAGACGAATTGTTGAATAAAGTCGTTATTTTTTTTTCTTTGCGTACAAAAAGTATTCTCATAGTTTTGTAAAATTAGGGTTGAACCGGGTCATGGAGCTCTCAGAATTCATCAAAAATATCTTAAATTGTGTTCCGAAGACGAACGGAGGTCTTACGGGTTTGGACTGACATGAGGGTGAGCAATTGATGACAGATTTTTCATTTTTGGGTGAACTATCCCTTTAATAGTGATGCATTAAAATAACATTGAATTATTCAATTATTACAAATAAAGTATTAATTTAACAAAAAAAGTATTAATATCAATCTAACTT